GCAGTATCTTTAACGAGCTGTAGACGAGACCCCTCACCACATCCTGCCACCGCTCCCTTCACTTTCGGTTCATTTTTCTCTCGTAGATTCTTCATCGTTATAGGCTTCAAGGTCGTCTTCATCTTCTTGGCCGACTTCCCCTTCGCCGACTTCGGGGGCAGTTCCCTTGTCCGGTGCATCTTGAGCGGAGTGACGCTAGGACTTGATTGCGATAACGAGTCTTCTTCTTCCGTGGTGGTTGATATCCGCTTGCGCTTTTCGGTCAAATGAAGCCTGCGGGTACGCTGACCGATCTCCGAAACCCCATCGTCAAAATTGGAGGCGACGGTGTATGTTCTCCGATGATGTTTGCCCCTTCTAGAGGCCTTCCGATATCGCCGATGCTTCCGTTTGAGCTCCGGTGAGCTCTCGACTTCCACGTGCTCCATCGCTCCCCCCCATCTTTTTGCGAACTGGAGATCGAAGATCTTTTTTAGTCTCTCGTCGTTCTCCTATTGCTGTCTTCTACGTTTTTCTTCCTTCTTTAGCCTTCTCGCCTCCTTCTCTGCCTTTTCTCGCTCCATCTTGATTCTATCCTCTTCCTCCTTCTTTGCTCTCTCCTTCTCCTCACGTTCCGCCATCAACAAACTGACCAGGTCCTTAACGCTATCCTTGTCATCGCTTCGGTAGCTACGGTATTTCGAATCCGCTGACGGTGATCGTTTAGCAGACTCCCAGTGCCTTCTCACTGGAGATGTTGACCTCCCACGTACGGGTCCGGATGCCACTGCTCCCCCGGATGTTCCCATCTTCCCTTCGTACTTTTCCTTCCGATATGCCCCGCAATCTCGAGTGTAGTGCCCCGGCAGATGACAGCTGTAGCACGTTTTTGGGTTCCTTCGCGTGCCATCGCCGTCGCCACTGCCGCTTGGTTGACTTGATGACGCCATTGTGAGCCCTTACTGATTCGGGTTTTTTTTGACTCCCCTAGTCCGCGCCAAGTAGTTCCGTCTCCAGGACGGTACGTACTGCGTCCAGACTTGACCACCAAAACGAGGTATCGATCCCTCGATGGTTACCAATTGCTTTACAAGAGGTAGAGGAACTTAGTCACACAAACTCATGCGACCTTTCGACCATGGCAGGCAAATGACAAATCGATACAATCGACAACATCGAAGCGGTCAAACGCCGAAACAGAAGTCCAAAATCAACAATGCTTCATTAAGAAAGCGACAACCCAAGAGAACCGCGAAAGACGGTCTCGAGAATATCTGCTATCTTCCCCCTTTCTTCCCCCGAAACTGATCCCC